ATAATAAAAACATATGTATACCCCATAAATACCCATGTATACCCCATAAATACCCATGTATACTTGTGTTATACACTAAACTCGTCAATATAGTTAGGGGGAGAGGGGGGAGGGATACATGACTGCTCCATTTTTTGTGTTTCTGTGTGTGTGTATTTACTATTTGTCTGCAGACTCGAGCTATTAGCTCTTGGACCCCGCCTTTCTAACCAATCTATTTTTTTTCCTCTTATATTTACTAAATATAGTTCTTTCTAACACACGCACACACATGCATCCCCAGGAAGCAGCCCGTAGCAGCTGTCTAACTCCCAGGTACCTATTTACTGCCAGGTGAACAGGGGCACCAGGGTGAGAGAAACTCTGCTTATTTATTTCCGCCTCGGCCGGGAATCGAACCCGGGCCCTTAAGACTATGATCCCCGAGCGCTGTCCACTCAGCCTCTAGGTGTGTACTCACCTATTTGTGCTTGCCGGGGGAGGGGGGGGGGTTGAGCTCTGGCTCTTTGGTCCCGCCTCTCAACTGTCAATCAACTGGTGTACAGGTTCCTGAGCCTACTGGGCTCTATCATATCTACACTTGAAACTGTGTATGGAGTCAGCCTCCACCACATCACTGCCTTATGCATTCCATTTGTTAACTACTCTGACACTGAACAAATTCTTTCTAATGTCTCTGTGTCTTATTGGCTAAGTGGAGGCCCTTTGGAGCCATTACCAGTATCAATAGCTGATACTGGAGATCTGTAGAGACCCAGTGGGTGTCGAGTGTATCATAGAGTTCTTTCAAGGGGATCAGAGTCACTTCGGATTTTAAAGCCAATCTAACCTAATCCAACCTTACCTAACCTAACCTAACCTTACCTTAGCTTAGCTTAGCTTAGCTTGGCTTGGCTTACCTGGCCTGACCTAACCTAACCTTACCTCACCTTACCTTAGCTTAGCTTAGGTTAGCTTAGCTTGGCTTGGCTTGGCTTGGCTTGGCTTACCTAGCCTGACGTGACCTGACCCGATCTTACCCAACCTAACTTAACACAGGCTGACCTAAGATGATACATCCTAACTTAGCGATATATATACGACTTTGACACAAGACTGAGCTCTGTGGACCCGTCTTTGGCGACGTGACCTTTGCCCTCAGCAGCGGAGGCGTTGCCCGATACATTCACCATAGTTAAGGTGATCCACCCAAGATCAATATCTTAGGAGTTGTTGAGAATTTTGAACGAATAAGGACAAAGCACCGCAGATATTGTACGTTGTTCTAACAATCGATGTACGATGTGTTGTTAAGTTCGTACACAATAGTTGTTAGTTAATCCGTACAGATTGTACGGGAGTCTTTCCACGTGAGTCTTACCTCATGGGTAAGGAGTAAGTTAGGTAAGGAGTAACTTTTACTTATTAAGTAAGGGTGGGAGCCCGCTCTTACGGGCTTGAGATGATTTCGGGGGCTTAGCGTCCCCGCGGCCCGGTCCTCAATCAAGCCCCCTTTTTTGTTACACACCTTCCAGGAAGCAGCCCGTAGCAGCTGTTTAACTACCAGGTACCTATTTACTGCTAGGTGAACAGGGGCATCAGAGTGAAAGAAACTGCCCATTTAATTTCGCGTCCGCTGGGGATCGAACCCGGAAGCTTAGGACTACGAATACTGAGCACTGACCACTCAGCCGCCAGGCCCCCCTTGAGGTTACCTTCAAGTGCTTCCGGGACTTAGCGTCCCCGCGGCTCGGTCGTCGACCAGGCTTCCCCACCCAGACATCTTGTATAACTTGTATAACTTGTATAACTCCTTCTTACCTGTTGTATTTCATTGTATTGTATTTGTATGTAACTTCCTTGTTCTTAACACGTTTTCTTGTTCACGTTGGCTGCATGGATACACTCGTGTGTGTGGCTGTTGTATCGCCGCTTGAAGTATACACTAGTGTATGATACATTTTGCTCCAGGTAAACACCTCTGTGTTGAATCCACAAGGCAGCGTCTGGGATGCTCCCGGACGCAGGTTCGAACCCTCGTCACGGCCCTTGTGGATTTGTTCATTTCTTATTTTGACCTCATTGTATTTTTGAATGCTGAGGAAATTATTCATCTTCACAGCGTACATAATCGCACGCGCACATTCACGTGCTAAAATACACACACACACACACACACACACACACACACACACACACACACACACACACACACACACACACACACACACACGTTGATTGACGGTTGAGAGGCGGGACCAAAGAGCCAGAGCTCAACCCCCGCAAACACAACTAGGTGAGTACACACACACACACACACGCATGCACATGCAAATCATGGGTAGGTATTAGCATTTATATTCCTAAATATCAGAGTAGCATTGTTATTCCTAAATAAATCCTACAATCTGAGATTGATTGTGTGTGTCTGGGTGTTGGTGCAAAGCTCCCTGTTGGGCTGAGAACTGTCCACGCCCAGATTGGCCCTCGCTGATGTATGCAATGTAGCATTATAAATAGGACTACAAACGCTCATATTATAACAAGAACGATTGAATCGCGTGTTGGCGGCCTAGTGTTGTTGTTGTTTAAGATTCAGCTACTCGGAACAGGTTCTAAGTAGCACGGGCTATGGTGAGCCCGTAACTTACCTGGCACAGGAGCGGGGCAAGTAGCACGGGCTATGGTGAGCCCGTAACTTACCTGGTACATGAGCGGGGCAAGTAGCACGGGCTATGGTGAGCCCGTAACTTACCTGGCACAGGAGCGGGGCAAGTAGCACGGGCTATGGTGAGCCCGTAACTTACCTGGCACATAAGCGGGGCAAGTAGCACGGGCTATGGTGAGCCCGTAACTTACCTGGCACAGGAGCGGGGCAAGTAGCACGGGCTATGGTGAGCCCGTAGTGAACTTACCTGGCACAGGAGCGGTGGTCGGCCTAGTGTGTTCCTACGTGGTAATATATTTTGTTTGGGCGGGTGAGAGGTGGTGGAGCCACCCGTCCTCTTATCAATAACGTCGCTTTAAGCCCGTATGCGCAATGCTATGGCCAAAAATGGACGTAATTTGAAATGAAATCGGCTCACGAAAGTGATGTACTGTCCCGTTTTCTGTTGCGAGTCCTCCGGCTTACTCGGTTAGGTTAGGAGAGGAAACTTTCAATTAATGGTTTTCATGACGTTTTGAAACTTTAGGAGAACTTCCTGCCCTCCTAACTTACCAGAAGACCCTTAAC